TTCCGAGGAGTGGCTGGTGGGTTTGAACCGCCAGCCGTCTGGTTAGCAGGCAAGTGACTTAGCCACTATGCTACCACATGCCATAATATTCACCCATTTATGTGAAAATTCCACGATATTAAGTCTTTATTTACATTAAATTAACATTTAATCTTCCATTTTCTTTCTTAATTATTATTATTTTTTTAATGTTTAAGATCTTAAATATACAGATCTTATTGTTGGTAGCATTGTGAAAAATTACTCAAAATGCTTTATTTTTCCCCCTAGACTACTGTTCTGTTTGGTAAGCATTGACTATTTTGTTTAACTGCTTTTTACTTCTGGGTATTATTAAGCAAAAGAAAATATTTCTCTACTTCTGTCCAATATATTGTTATAATATTTTTCTGTAAGTGTTATTTTTTCTTTTAATTGTATCATGTGCCAATATTTTTAAATGCATTTCTAATGTATGTTATTGTTTGCTCGCAACATTTCATGTGAAGCATATCCTTACCAGCTCTGTAAGCCTCCATGAGGCTTGTCTCATCACAATTCCTTCTAATTTCAAGGTATACCATCCCTCTTCCTTCCTAGGCAGGGGACTTCTCTGGGCGTCCATTCCTTCATCTGCAGGTGAAATCCTGGACCCCTTCAGAGCTGTATAATCTCAGTATTTGTGATGTTTTCTAGGACCATGGAGATCAAAGTGAGGCTACTAAAATGCTGCTAGGATTACTGCCCAGTTTTCCATTCTTTCTCTACTTTATCTTGCCCTTTTCTGTTGTTTTACACACAGCTTCCAGAATAATCTTTCCAAAATGTAAATGTTATCATAATTCTCATAACTCTTTAGAGCTTTGAATAAAGTCCTAATTCCCTATACCACCTTTCTAAAGACCCTTTGTCTCTGAACTCTGAGCCTTCCACATACTATTATTCTCTCTGGTTAGATTAGAATATTACTTGACCCTTCTGGATGTTACCCCTACTCAGATCTTAGCACAGATGTTTCTTTCTCTGTAGGCCCTCTCAAAATACCATAACCCCTCTATGTCCCCTTAGTATCTTACACTACTTCCTGACCTGTACTCTCCACACTTGTTTGTAGTTACCCCTATGCTTATGTATCCACCTGTGAACTATACAGTCCACAGGAGAGGAGGCAACAAGCCCATCTCACTTCTAGTATGGACTCAGTTAGTGCTTGCTGAATGAAAAAATAAATGTGAAAAAGCAGACTCCAGGCTTGACGGCCCAGGTAGTTCTAAGGATTCTCTCTGTAAGAGCTGGTCTGGTAGAGCTGATTAGCTTACAGTGTCTGCTTTCCTTCTGGGAGTGGTTTGAAATTGCTTCTTATCTTTGGAAATGACATATTCTTTTTTTTTTTTTTTTTTT